ACTGGTGCCGGGGCACGAGCGACAGGTAGAAATGAATGCCTGAGGCTGCAGCAAGAGGTGGTCCTTCAGCCTCAGCGTACCGAGCTCACCTCGATGACAGGTCTCGGTGTGGAGGTGTGAGGACCCGGCAGAAAAAGGCAGGCGGTGACGCTGGCGGAGCCTTCTTCACATGTCAGGGCCAATGACGATCTCTTGGGCCTCCCACCAGGTGCGTGCTCACTCTGTATCTGTGTCTGTGTCTGTCACTTTTGACAGTAGCTATCACTATCCTGAAGCCCACCACCTCGTTCGTCCACCCTCATGCCTCGTCGGCCCTCCAGTCGCCCTCGTCTCGTCTCCTGCCCCGTCTCGCCACCTCTGCCGACACACAGCCCCGAGGCGCACGACCCAGCTACGCCGTCGTCGTCGGTGAAAAACGAGCTCGACGCCTCCCCCTCGTCCGCCGCCGAAGCCCTTCTCGAAAGCGTCCCAACGCCTGGACACAACCCCACCCCCAACGTCACGTCGCCATGGAGAAGTTCAGCCAGTTTCGTGACAAGGGCTCCGGCATCTCGCCCTTCATGCCCATCAAGACGCCCGTGTCGCCTCTCAGCTACGCCCTCCACACGTCGCTGTTCCTCCTGCGCCTGCCGCTCTTCCTGACCCTGACGGCCACCTACTTTCTCTTCCTCCACCACCTACCCCTGCCCGTCGTCGTCCGCAAGGCCCTGCTCTGGTCCCTCATGGCCATCCCCGGCCTGTGGTGGATCGACCTGCAGCTCGACGGCGTGCGCCGCGGCACCCTCGCCGACCAGCCGCCCAACCGCTTCCCCCACCCGGCCTCCGTCATCGCCTCGACCCTGACCTCGCCCATCGACGCCCTCTACCTCGCCGCCATCTTCGACCCCATCTTCACGCGCGCCTATCCCTCGACCCGCAAGCTCGAGCGCGTCTCCCTGCTGTCCGCCGTCGCCGCCGCCCTCGGCCCCGTCCGCCAGAGCCCGCCCCCCGGCGCCACCCTCTACGACCTCGACGCCCTGCTCGCCGCCCACCCGACCCGCGTCGTCGCCGTCTTCCCCGAGGCCGCCACCACCAACGGCAAGGCCGTCCTGCCCCTGGCCCCCGCCCTGCTCGCCGCCCCCGCCGACACGGACATCTTCCCCGTCAGCCTGCGCTACACCCCCGGCGACGTCACCACCCCCGTGCCCGGCCGCTGGCTCCCCTTTCTCTGGGCCCTCCTGTCGCGTCCCACCATCTGCATCCGCGTCCGCGTCGCCGAGGCCGTGCGCAACGCCTCCCGCGCCCAGACCAACGGCGCCTTACGCATCGCACGACGAGAGCAACGACGTCACGAGACGCCGCGCAGGTGCCGGTGCCGGTGCCGGTGCCGGTGCCGACGTCACCATGGAGGAGCAG